ACCGCAGCCACACCAAACTACACTAGCAATAAAAGGGATGGTCACTTGTTGGAACAATGTGTTCGCATATATATGTATATGCGTCAATGTTAACATTGATGGTTTAATCATCACGTGCGATGTATACAGAAATAAAGTTGTCGAAATCAAGAATCGATTGAGCACTCGTTCGCTAACGCTGGTTTAGACCACCCGTAAACTGTCCCGAATCACGCTTAGGAATGGTGATCAGAGGCAACTTTAGCAGATTTTGTTTTCTTATTCTCTTTGCCTTTCTACTGGATGTTTTAATTTTATCAGTTGTTTATGTCTTCGGGATGAAATTCCACCCACAACATTAGGCTCATTAAACAGGAATTAGGTTTTTGCTAAATTTGTTGACTCCATTTGAATTTTTAATATTTAATTTAGAATAGACTTGCCCTGTGTTTTCTAAGCTGTACAAATGCCTCAGATCTCCATGTATTCCCACCACAGACGAGCTTTTTTAATCAGACCCACTCTTTTACCTACCTTCTGTTTAAGCCTAAAAGGGAAAGTATTACTCGGAGCCTTGCTTGGAACTTTGGCAAAGCTAATTCGTGCATTCTTAGACGTTGTAAATTTTCGCCGCTGATTGTTGTGCTTTTGTATAATTTTGATGCCAAACGTGTCCTTAATTAAGACAATTTATGAAAAAGCAGTCGGAAAGCTGTTCGCCAACTTAGAGATGCTCATTTTAATGCCACTACTTGAACAACCTTGAATCACGTTAAAAAAACGTAAGCGTTGTTTGAAATGTAGAAATTGTGCCGTGGAATCTGTTGAAATCTAAGCACAAACATGTAATTAGCTTCGGCGAATATGAATAAGTCAGGCCGAGTTAGTAGATTAAATAGTTAAGTGTAGTGGGGTTGGTAGGCTGCGTCAGCCCACATTAATGTCTCGTCAATGTTGCCTCCCCAAAGACAATTTTGAACTGCGTTCAACTAAGTTAGTGAAGCGTGGTTCAACTCAAGAATTTGCCAGAACTGCAATATTACATTAAGATTCAATCAAGTGGTATGTATTTTTGAAATAAAGACCCACGTTGATAAATGTAGTAGGTGCTTTTGTGTATCAGAAAATTTCAAAAAAGGTCTTGAATTAGATGTGTGATTGAATTGTTACGGCTAAACGCACTTCTGGGATTTGACGCAATTAATGAAGGGATGGTGCAACCTAGGGCGTGTGTCATTGGTGTGAAAACCTTTCTCGGCGCTTAGGTCGCTGCGAGGCTGTTTTGAGTCGTAACAAGTCATTGGCACATTTATTGCTCCAAAGGCTTGAGGTGAGTTAAAGAGGGGTAAAGGAAGTAGGTTTTATTGTGGTCAACATGATTAAGGAAGTCTACTGTGTGGGTAACCATTATTTAAGTTTCTGTAGGTGAAAAATGAAATTTGGTAACAACAAACTCAGAAGTCTGTTGACCAATTTGGTGGCAAAATATCTCACGAGACCAATCCACTTTTATTTCAAAATCTAAGCCATTTCAATGGACGATGATACTTGGAATTTGTCACCTTTTCGGATACCGCTCCAGATATACAAATTGCATTCAGCGTCGTTAATGTGTAGTTCTAAATCTGTTCTGTCAGGGCTTACCCATATTCGCTGGTATGTTAGTCCACAAAACGTGTGATGCCTTTATATTCCAGTAAATTTGTGTTAAATTCAAGGCGATTCTGCTTTTGGAATCGGTCAGAATTCTTGTTTTTAAATTCAAGAAACTCTCCGGCATGTCGAGTGGGATTCTTCCCTTGCTGGCCGTCAATGGAAAGTTTATTTTTCGCCAGCTATTTGAACCCATCTCGTCTACATTTACTTATCTACTTGGCGACACTTCCTCGCGTCAGGCAATCCTTATCGATCCTGTACTAGAAACTGCAGAACGCGATGCAAAATTGGTGAGTAGCACTGTTAATATCATTGTGTGCGCCGTCTAGATGTTGACGACTGTTTCCAACTAGTGAGTTTTAGTAACTAAGCTTTTCGTCGCTTATCTGGGAACTTATCTAAACTGCTAGCTGAACCAGACCCATGCACAATGCTGTCGGAAGCTTAAACTCTCGAAATTGTCCCGGAGCTGTAGCGTCTTAACAGGTTTCGATTAGTGCTGAGTGGTTGAAGAATTGCCGGTAGTGATTCGAAGTTTGTAAAGCATACTTTTGGCACTCAGCGTGGCATGCTCGGTTTATGTTTGGATGCCGATTTTATGACATTTACTATAAATCCACCGGACTAAGCATCTGGCCTCATTTCCAACTTTTTATTGCCTCGGTCTGTGCAAAAGGGCCACAGTAACCGCTCACGCACATCGAAATGCTTTACAGCAAGAAAAATCATTTGAGCTTCTACCATGATAACGTTCTTGGGGTGTTCGTTTGTGTCCCGTGTGGTAACGGAGATGTGTTAAGGTAACTCAAACGCGTAATGATTGCAGTTCGTTTACCAAGGTTGCTTTTGATTTTGTCATAAATGACAAGCTTGCTCTTTTCTCTATGGACGTTTTCATGCGAGACTTGATTTTTAAACTGTTTAAAATATGTTGTAGTGCATATTTCTTACGCTGTACTAGCTAACATAAAGTGAGGACGTGGTTTTTACTTCAACCACTGTCTATTGGTCGACGCTGCAGACATTGCTCAGGATAGTTAATATTAGTTTGAAGCAATCAATTTAGAATATTTCAGAAGTTCAATTAGTTTCCCAGTATTTGTTAAAGCTTTCGTGTCCACCATGCAATGAGTAGTATTAAAGTAGCTAGTGGTCTAAGCACTACCTTACAACCCTATAGCTAACAGCCCGTAACAACCCGAGAATGGAGAGAGAGGCAACAGAGGACACGACCGTTTATTAGCGTCACGCCAGCCAAGTGTCTTGGTGTGTGGATGAGTGAACGGATGACAGGCATCTGATACAGTAACCAATGAAATGGGAATGAGTCATTGTCACCGTCAGGCTGTTAATCCGCTACAGTACTTGTGGTATTGTTGTTTGATTATTTGTAGTGATGTTCATTCATTCAATGGATGTACTTTACTTCTACCAGGTTGTAACACTTGGCCTTTTAGATAAAGGAGCTTGATCTGGATCTCCGCTACGTGCTAAACACGCACGTCCACGCAGATCACGTGACAGGTTCTGGTGCTCTGAAGAAGATATTTGGTCACAACTGTAAAAGTGTCATCTCCAACGTCTCTGGAGCAAGAGCAGATCACTACGTAAAGGCCGGCGAGGTCTTGAAGTGTGAAAACATTCATCTGGAATGTCGCAGTACCCCAGGTGTTCTTTTTATCGCTCACACAAAACTATTATTTCTGTTGAAGGTTTTTTTCTGTTAGTTAATGGTGCGTGCATATGCTGATCACATTGATTCTGGATAAATGTAAATCACGGCTACCCTACTTCAATACCACTCTGCCATACATTGTAAATGGAATATTAGATTTTTCTTTAGTGAAGCAAGTATAAAAAGTCAGCAAACTCAAGGTCTTATTTGAAAAAAAAAATTATTTCAGTATTACTTTGCTTCGTAATGCAGCGTTTTGATTGATCGCCCCATAAACCCTCGTCTCCCTGACAGATTGTCAATTTTAAGTCCAGCACAAAAACAGTTAGGAGCGGATTTTCGCTACTCACACTTAAAAATATTAGAACAATCGTGGGTCTTACGATGCACGCCCTTTTGATAAGCCACGGAACGTTCTGTCACTAAACAAGTATCCCCACTAACATAAAGACGGTGGCTTTCCCATTAACAATACTGTGGTTGTAATAAGCAGCGGAATTGAACGGGTATTTTAAACTTCAAGTTGTACATTAAATTTCGAGGTTTTCTTTATTGTGGTGAGCTAAGGCGCACCGCTGACACCAAAAACCATCTGCTTGATTTTCTTGAGGCCACACGGACGGCTGCTTCACCTACGTGCTACACAGCGCAGGAGCGGCCTTCACAGGCGATGCCCTCCTGATCCGCGGTTGCGGAAGGACAGATTTTCAACAGGGCTCTCCTGAAAAACTCTACGAGTCGGTCCACTCACAGATATTTTCCTTGCCTGACAACTATCTTCTTTTTCCCGCGCACGAGTACTCCGGTCGTATGATGACAACTGTGGCAGAAGAGAAAAAGTTCAATGCGAGGTTGGCATGGCTTACTTGCATGTACCTTCGGTACAGTAGTAAAACTTTAATTGGTCAAGGGTTAGTGTTGCAAGCAAAATTAACTGATTTGTGATTTATTCTGCTACCAAATGTGTTTTAGTATTTTTGTTGAGGTAATTGTCTGTACTTTGTAAAAAGCGCTGACTAACAGTCGTTTTAAATTCAGTGTTAAAAAAATTGCGACACAAACTACTATTTATGTATTTGGTTAAGCAAGCATGTATCTTTATTGTGTATAACAGGTGCTTCCATTTCTGAGCTATAAATGTATTTCCCTTCCTTGTAGGTTAACGAAATCAAAGGAGGAATTTGTTGAAATTATGAATAATTTGAATCTCGCTTATCCGAAGCAAATTGACCGAGCACTTCCGCTCAATCTCAAATGTGGTTACGAGGATTGAACTGACACTATTTTCGCCAATTTATTATCTTGTTAAAGCAACAGATAAAAAGAAATTGTTAAGATAAATACCTTGACTTTAAAACAATTCCATTTCTCTCCGTGAAATTGCTTCATTATCCAACCTCGTTTGCCTTTTGCCCTTTTGTGTGCTCTGTTATGCTTTCGCATAAGTTAGCTTATTTACACCTGCAGCAAATCTGTAAATTGTGGTCTCTATTTTATTGGATAGATAAAATATATGTCTGATTAAAAGTTACGAGTTTGGCGATATCTGTTCTTCTGGAACCCTATTTTGTCTTTACTACCCAGCTCGCGGTACACAGAGCACAGAAAAGCTAACCGTCTTTATAAACATGTGTTGGGCTTCTCACACTAGCACTCAGACAAAACACGTATGAGTCAGCGCTTCCATGCGGTGAATCAGGACATGGCATGACCTCGCACAGGGAGACTTCATTGTCTCAGCCAACGGCTAAGTGTAAGTTCACATGCGCACGCTTATTTCTGGCATGGGTGGCCTTGTGTGTGCGTGGAAAAACAGTGCACTCAATGGAGCGTGGGAAGAAGGAGGGAAATATGAATAACGGGCGTTGGTGTAGATAAAATGCAGTTGACAGGGAAAAACAAAAAACTGCAGAAATCCCGACAAATGTAGTCTTGGGGATGCTGTATCCCCAACGCAAATCAAATCTTTCATTTGAACCAGATGTAAAATTCCCATCGTAAATAATTATTTCGTACGCGTCAAAGATGTTTATTTCAAAAATAACATAAAATACCTACATTTGTGTTTATTTATTTGTGTACGAATAACGAGTTACAAATCGTTGTGATTAGTGGCAATCTTTGAACCTCATCTGACCCAGTAGTGCATTTGTCAATTCCAAATACTAATGAACCTTCGTTTAATTCAAATGAGTAGTAACTACGGTGTTTATTGAAGCCGTTTTTGTGGGCAATGAAATATATTGAGGTAGAATTTTTTCTGGACCATCGGTTGTCAGCAATTTCAGTTAAAAGCCAAATATTCAGATTGAAAATTAATCAAAAATTCGATACTTTGAAATAGAATCAATTATAAACCTAGGGTGAGATGCATAATTCAGTGAGTTATTATTTGAGAGTTTCGTCAACTTTAGCAATTCTGCATTTTAAAAATTTGCAAAATTTTATTCAGCTATAAACCTGTAAGCAAAACTTTTAGTCAATCTGAAAATTTCACGGAGATATAAGAAATTGTTCTGGGCCCCAGCATGTGGTCTTGAACAACGCCGGGGCCACAGAATTTACCCTGGCCCGATTATGTTCCCCTAACACCCGCGATGAAGAAAAAGACCGGAGAGGACGTGGACACAACCGTTTACTTCAGAGCTTAACCTTGTTGGTGTCGTTGTGTCTTGTGTGGGGTTTGCGCGTGCGCATTTATACCTCGGATGCGCTAACACCGAGACCTAGGCGTGAGGATAATCCAAATTTTCGTGTGAATGAAGGGAGGGTTGAGGATTCGCGTGGCTGGTGCCATGCTGCGAAAAAGGACAACCCTGTGTCGAAGGCGGAGCGATCGGATTACGGGGTTGACTAAACAAGATTAACAACAAAATACTGCTACAAATTTTGTTAGTAATCAATGATTTCCTGAAGTATGGATAGACCTGATGCAACAAGAGAGGCTATTTTGACATACGAAAAGATAGAAAGATGCATTGGACACCGTCTATCTGATTCCGCTAAATTAGGTTTAATGTTTTTATCTAATCGTACTTTAGGATCGCCACTGATTATTCTTTTGGGTCAATAAAACACACAAAATACAGAGAATTTAATAAGCTCTAAATGTAAATAGTTAGTATTCTGCACGGTTATGGCTCTACATTATAGAAATAACAGAATCACAATGTAAAATTATCTAGGACTTAAGTTTGCAAAAGAATGATATAATTCAAGAGTAAGGTGGGCTTGTTGCAGTGCTACGTTCTATCGTCGCTTCGTTGGAATTATTCATTTTTGTAGTTTTTAATTTTTATTATTGTATAAAACAGTTTTTTAATTTTTGCTTCTTTATGCATGACAAAATGAAAACTTAGTGATGTCCGTGCAATTTGTTCTAATCAGCTAAGTTGCTCAAATTTTCGCTTGTGGGATTGGTTATAGATAAGGTTGAGTCGTGTATTCCTATTGGTTAATTTTCACCGTGTCAGTTCAATTGTGGAGTTTGATGTTATCGTTTACCATTTCATTCCTTTCCTGGTACGAAGCAACATGTGACATAATTTTGTTGTAAACGATTTTATTTTTTATTAGAAAAATTGTATTATATTAAGGATAAACATGATGTTTCTAAGGCTTTTTATTGTTTGAATCCGATCAATTTGTGACGAATTATTTATGACTTTAACGTTAAAATATAGGTTAGTAGCATGGGTATAGAGCCAGTTGTTTACTCTTTTTATGCGAGGATCAATTGCGTTTCTATACTCCATTGGAACAAATACTGATTTATAATTAAACCCACTAGTGAAAAACTTTTGTCTACTTGGCTGTCATGCTTTTTGGACACACTGGACTGGTAATGTTTATTGTTTGAAATCCCTCTGGGAGTTTTCTTTCTTTGCACTTTCCTCCTAAATATGTTACTATTGACTTTCGATTAATAAACTTGTAAAGACAACATCAAAATTTTGCATTCAGGTATTTAAAGGTAATAATGAGTTAAGACCTTGGTTTAGTGCTTTTATACTCATCCTCCACTTGAGCATTTTTATCGTTTGCTGTATGTATATTTTCTGATGACTCTTTCGTTTCTTATTGTGCGGTATTTTGTCCTTTCTTAACAGCAATGAACCTGCACGCGAACTTTCTGCAACTTTGGTCCAATAAATTTCCATGTTGCATGGATTCGTTACCTCAACTTGAGTGCCTGAAAGCAGACCAATTCCTGACAGTGAATGAACAACGAGTGGCACTTGAAGTGGCACAGTCTGAGATATCAGCTTCCATTGATCGTTTGCAGACAACGCTAAGCCAACAATTCTTTATTTCTGACTATCTTCGCACATGTATAACAAAGCTTAGTGCCGTTTCACGAGTTTTTAACGAGCTCGAAAATGGCGATGAACATAGTGGTGAAGAGCTTTCGTCCCTCAAATTGGATGAGCAACAAACGCCACCACAAAGTGAGCCCACGAACACCTCTGTCTCAGCACTTAATTTGTCCGTGCCGTCGCCTACCCAAACACCGTCTCTTTCACTGATCCCTTCATTCTTTAATTCACCTTCTCAACTCATACCGGCAACCTCAAGGAACCTTCTTCTGCATTCCGCTCTTAGCTCCCAGACTGTGAAGCCTGATTCACTGCCGTAAGTATCCCTTACACTTTCTTGCACTTTGTTACATTGCTGATCCATCTGTTTTCGTTGATGCTTAGCTGTAGGTAGACTGATGCAGAAGCTTTCTTTAAATTATTGAAAGAGCTGCAAGTTCAACGAATTGACGATCTAGTAGTACATTAAAAAACTATGTAGCATTCTTACAAAAATTAAACCAAAATTAAGTATGCATGAATGACTGTGCATCAACATTACAAGGCTGATATTGGGCACAGAGGTATTGTGAACTGTCTTCAATTCAGGTAATCCTCATCCAGTAATAAATTCGATTATTATATTTACTGTTTTAACTGAATTATTGTCACTGTACTTGAATTTCATTTTGTACTCAATGAATGGCATTATGTTTTCATTTCAAACTAATTTCCCTAGACCATATAGCAAAAAGATTTGGGTTCCATATAATGTATTGGCAGTCAAAATTGAAGCAGCAGGGTTGCCTTAACTCGTAGTTACTTTGCATTTTGAAGTCACCAGTTCTTTTTTTACTTTCCTTACTGACGCCATACGTCAGTTCTTAACCTATTTCTGCATTCATTATACAAATATCTTTTAGATATATATTATGTTCATCATTGCGAAAGTTCTAAGTTTTATTAATTTCTCGTGTTTTATATTCCCCCCCATCCAACTTAAATGAATAATTTAACAGCTTAATAGGCCGATTTGTTTTCTGCCTCAAAGTCACTCCGTCTATGGTTTCAGTCTCTAGTTCGTTTCCTCTTTGCTAATTCCTCGTTGTAAATTACGCTTTAAAGTCTATTGAACAATTTTCACCTTGTCAGATGCTTGATGAATTACAAGGATAGTTAGTCATGTTAAGACATTTTATTTCGATTTCCGACCTCTCTTGACCTTCCCAGCATCCGAAAGTACCGCTGTTTATTGGTTCTCACGTTACTCATCTGATGAATAAAACGTGCCACCTTCAGCAAAAATAATTAAGCAGCTTTCGTTGTCGTCCCAAAGATATACTGGATCAATTTGCTTGACTTTAACTTTTGAAACCCCGCCGATGCCCATCCTCCGTTGGCCACCATTTCTCCCTTGGCATTAACAGGCTTTTCTGCATGTGCCTGAGTCTTGTTGAACATCACAACACCAGCCTCAGTTCCTT